CATTTCAAGCCACGGCCGCTATCTTCGATTTTGAAATTTTGAAAATCTGGCCAAAAATTCGAGTTTACCGTTGAAAAATACCTCCGCATACCGAGTCTCACGAAAATCGAGCGAACAGGAGCCGACTTAGCATTTTAGGCCATGGTCGCCATCTTTGATTTAGAAATTCTGAAAATCTGACGAAAAATTCGAGTTTCCCGTTAAAAAATACATTCGGATACCGAGTTTCACGAAAATCGAGTAAACAGGACCCGACTTAGGATTTTAGGCATTAATATATAACAGCGCCGCTAGGGACGAATCTGTCCATGAAGTAGTGCGACTAGGAGGCTTCAACCACGGCATTGTTCCAAAAAAGCGCGAAAACTTTTCGTTTTGAAAATTTTGATTTTAAACGTCAAGTACATTTTTTTCATACGAGATTAAAGCACAGACCAGTTTTGAATTATCGACAGTATCACCGTGATTCCAAAAATACACTACACAACATATCATTCGCTCACAAGAAAAAACAATGAATTAAAGTAAAATCATGGCAAGGTCCACAGCCAAAAATGGCGACGATTCCCATCTACCAACGCGCGCTCTAACCACTGGTAGATGTACCATTGTTAACATCCACTGCAGGCAGAGACCGACCGGAATAGCTAGCTCTAGGTCCTAGCACCATAGCCACTAAAAAGCGTGTTACGGACTACGCAGATTGTGCGGTAAGGAGTGAATTTCACATTCTTTTGACGAGCTCAATTTTATTTTCGAGCGAAGTTTTCCTCAAGAAGTGTGTTCAGTTGGCTGTCTTTGGTCAGCAACGGACCCATTTTAAGGCTAAAAATACTCAAAAAAGGAGGTACCTCAATACCCGCTAATATTCATATTTTTTCGTTAGAAAGGTATAAAATAGTGGAACTTACTTTTTAAAAGTAAAAACTGATGCACCATACCCTGGTAAAAATGGCAAGTGTTAGGCCAGCGAATTTTCCACTGAGGTCAGTGCAATTTGCTCTGAGGTCAGTTCAGTTTTCTCTGACGTATGTGTTAAAGCACTTACCCAACAAGTCAGCACTGAGGTAAGAGGCACTGACGTCGGGAGAAAGACTTACCTCAGCGCAGAGATATCTCTGAGGTAAGCGGAACTGAGGTCAGGACTTGGTCCAGAGGGTATGTCTCTCACATCAGTCTTAATCGAACTGCACTCACTCCCAAAAAGTGGATATGGCTCCCCCTTCCCCCACCCTATTTCAATTTCCGTGGGGAAATATTTCCTCTGGATACGGGGACCACCAACTTTATCTTACAGAGAGGCGTATTTTTTAGGAGGGGGGATTTTCTAAGAAGAAAGGAAAACTTGTTTAGGTGGCCACACTCTTGAATAATTTGTTTTACCTTCTTCGTTTATGATGACACTTAAATAATTAAAATACAAAAATATGAGATCGGTAAAAATATTATCACCGCTATAATATGTATTTAGATGTATTTACCCTATCGGCAAAATGACCCTGCTGGTACAATGTTGGTAGCGTTTCTGGACAACCTTGTCACCAAGCTTGTCACATGCTTGAGACAAGCTTTGGACAAGCACTAAAGGACCTAGACTAGGAGATTGAACGGCCAAGATTACCCAAAGCTTGGAGGGCCAACATTGTGGCATGTATGTTTTTTCAAGGTCAGATACCGTTTCCGATCAACTACTGCTGAGCTTGTACCATCCTTGGCACAAGCTTGCCTGAATGGCGGGCGGACCTTGAAGAAGTAAGCTTGATCCGAGCTTGCTTCTTCAATCTCCCTCCCTAGGCCCTTTAGTGCTTGTCCAAAGCTTGGTTAAAGCTTGCGGCAAGGTTGTTGTGACCTTTACATAAGCACGCTAAAGCATTGACATTCCGCAGCGAATTTACTCCAGAGCATCTCCGTTGGGATTCCGCAGGTTTTGTAGCACTGAGCTCACGTTATAATCATCTGCATTACTTTAAGTCTGGGGTTAATCGTATTTTATTCCGGGCTTTGCCGTGATTAATGAATCTCAATGAAATAGGGGCAGGGCTGGAGCTCAGCTAAACACAACCTTGGCCAAGAAATCGAGGAAGTGTACTTCAAATGAGAAAATACAGGAAAGTAGAGGACTTTCTTATCTGTGGTTTTGCAATATGCTTGGGATACATCTGCACTGTACGTATATGGTATCAGATATTTAAAAAAAGCAAAAAAAATTGCAGAAATTTGCCTGAAATTGGGTTTCAAGAGAAAGCGAGTATCAGCGCACCTTGGTGGCTGATCTGCGCACTACACTTTGCACCGGTTCATGGTTGGTGCATGATTGGTATGTCAAGATTAATTGGTCAACCTTGCCACAAGGTTGAAAGAAGGCCATACTGTCCTTGAGACTGCATGGTGGGTGCAAGGTTAAAATTTCAAGATTGGTTCTTCAACCTTGACACAACCTTAAAAAATCGAAGCTCTGTCCACCCTTTTAAATCGATGGTTGGCGCATGATTGGTATGTCATGATTGGTGGGCCAAGCTTTTGTCAATCTTGGCACAAGGTTGGAAAAAAGAGCTCCACCTGTCCTTGAGGTTGCAGGGTTGGTCCATGGTTGAAATACCAAGGTTAAGAACCAACCTCGCTCCAAAGTCAATGCAAGGTTGTACAGCCAAGCTTGTAATTCCATGTTCATTCCAATTTCGTCAAAGCTTGTTCCAAGCTTGTGCCAATGTCTCCAAGGTCATTTTGCCGATAGGGTATATTTAAGCATTATTATTTTTTTTAATGTAAGAGTTTTTTTTTTTAAAAAAAATGTTTTAACCCTTTATTGCACAATGATGCCATATGGCAACATTTGGTTTTTTATTTTTCTAAAATCAGGATGTAGATGATTTTTTGATGTGTTTGGTGATACCGGTCAGCATCGGTATAGCGGCCATGCATAAATTTTCCCCCACTCCCAATCCAGGGCTGCAAACTGTAAAAGAAACGCTCATTTGTCAGGTTGGTCGGTCTGAGGGTCACCGGTGAGGTCACCACTTTCACTGGTCGGTGGTTGGCTGCCCTGTGGTGCTGATGGGCTGGGAAAATTCATGCTGTTAGGTTGCTTTCTGTAGTTTTTTGATAGCCATTCAGAATTATTACAGCATTATTACGCAGTTTTATAGAGATCAAAAAGTAAATGTTGCCAATCGGCATCACCGAGCAACTAGGAGACAACTTTTGAATGTTTACTCAAGTTATCATGCGCGCGAGTACATGCGTTAAACGCGCGTTTCAGTCAGTTTTATTAGATTTTGCTATGAAAATGCTGTGTTGAGTGCCTGAAACAATGGCTAAAGAGGAGGAGCGCCCGCGAATAGACAAAATCGTCAAGTGTCTTGGTGAAAATCCAGGGAAATCTGATGATTCAGATCTGGCCAGCAGCTTGGATAAAGACGAATAAATTCCAATTTTTTTCAGGAAATAAATTCCATTTCTCTACATTATTTTTCACATTCTTTCATTTTTTATACACCTAGGGTATTTAAACTTTAATTAATTTTTTTTAACGTAAATATTTTGGTCGGACGTTGGACCTAGATCTAATTTTTTGGTACGCTTGGAAACGCAAGAGTTTTTCTTCCCCGGAGCGCCGTAGCATTCAATTTTACCTACGATTTCTTATACTTTTTCTTTCTTTTATCATTCTAACTTAATACTCCAATTTATTAGCTAAAAATTTTCCACTTCCAAGTCTTTCAATTTTTTTTTGAAAATTTTCAAAGTGTTCGGTGATGCCGCTTGGCAACATTTGGTTTTGTGCCCCAAAAAAGGTCAAAAGGTCAAAATTTTCAAAAACGGCAAAAGACGTGTCCATTTTTTCCCCATAACCTACAACATATATTTTCTTCATCTAAATCGGTGATCCAAAATTAATTCGTGCAACAAAGGGTTAACTCTTTCTAAAATGTTTCAGTCTGATTTTTTTTTAAAATATTTCAAATTTATTTTTAATTCTTTTCTAACTTTTTTACTCCTTTATTTGCAATTTTTGTATCTGCTAATTTATATTTTCTGTATCATTTCAACTTTAATTATTTTTTTACATCCTTAGCTATAATTTTAAATTTTAATGCGCTCCATTTTTTCCCCCAAAAAACATAACTCATAAGACTTCATATATATGTTGATTGATTAAAAAAGAATAATAAAAAAAGTAAGTATCGGATTCAAATTCAAATACAAAATCATCATATGCAACTATTTCAATAGGGGCCCTGAAATGGCATAATTACGCCCCTAACACTTATACGCGCAGCTAGTTTAGTGGTTCAGTCGCTAGGTCGATCACCAAAGTTAAGCTACGTCGGGCGTAGTTAGTGCTTAGTGTGGAGACCGCATGGGAACGAGCGTTTTACCAGTGAAGATTGTGATAATTACTTGTGATTGAAAACTCACAGCAGCCCCCCTGGTCGTCAAATAGTGAATAAACGTACCTGGCGGATCGGCAATTAAGTAAATTTTTGCCTCTATAATATTTCTGGAAGCTTCCACTCCACTTACGTCGAAGACACTTAGGTCAGTGCCACTTACATCAGAGGCACTTGCCTTTGGAACAGACCTAACACTGACGTAGCAGATCGACGCCCTACCCGGCAGCACTGACATCAGTGTTTAGGTCTGTTCCAAAGGCAAGTGCTACTGATCTGAGCACTTGCCATTTTTACCAGGGATAGTTATTTTGACTTACCAAATTAATGTTTTATCCTTGGTGAGAAATTTAGACTACTGAGTGCGTACAGTGACTCAAAGCAAGTTATCCGTGTTTGGCTGATAAGTATATTTGTGTTTATGAAAAATGAATTTTAGCTATGAGTTATAACATATGAATTGACTCCTATTATTACATAACGCTGATTTGTCGTAGTACAGGCTTTCATAATTTGATAACCGTTACGGACGGTGAATCGAGGATAAACCAGAAGAAAAGTGTGAAAAATGGGATTCATTAAAATTGACGGCTAAACATGCATTCATAGAATCTAACAGGTTTATTGCATCATTCTACTCATTATTTATGTTTACAGGACTGCAACCACGATGGCAAGATCAACTGTTATGATTACGCAGCTATCCACAAGTTGGGCGGGTATGGTTGCTCCGGGCTCGGGGCAGAAAACCCATACTACAGAAAATTCGACCAGTGTGCAAGGTTGATCTATAACCAATCAGCTCTTCCATCGGCTCCAACGCAACCTACATACCCCAACTCTCCCCCGCAGGCTGAGTTCTCGCAAGAGAGCCAACACTTCGGTCAGCAGATCCAGCAGCAACCGCATTATCCTCCGCCGCAACCGCAGTACCCACCACAGCCGCCCCAATATCCACCTCAGCAATCACAGTTTCCAACTCCGCCACCACAATACCCACCTCAACCACAGTATCCACCACAGCAGTCACAATACCCTCCTCAGCAGCCTCAATACCCAGTAAAACCACAACCAGGCCCAATTAAGCCGCAGAAGCCTGGGAACAAACCTCAGCAAATCCAGCAACCTTACCCTCAGCCTCCTCAGCAGCCGTACCCGCAGCCATTCCCCCAGCAACCACCCCAGCAATTCCCGCAGCCCCCACAATCCTACCCAAAACCACCACCACCTCAGCAAGGAACTTACCCCCCACCACCCCCAGCTCAGCAAGGATCTTACCCGCAACCGCCTCAACAACAATTCCCATCGCAATACCCGCAGCCACCTCAACAACAGTATCCACAGAAACCTCCTCAACAAGTGTACCAGCCTCCCCAAAAACCACCGCAGCAGGCGTTCCAACCCCAGCCTCCTAACAACCAAATCTACCAGCCTGGACAACAGCAATTCCAGCAAAAGCCGCCCGTCGGATACCCTCAGCCTGCGCCGCAGCCTGGTGGAGGTGGTTACGGCAACTCCTTGGATAATTTCGAGCTGCTGCCAACACCTGCTGTAGTTGTTAAATCGCCTGGCGATGGCACCACTGATGACTTGGACGCATTCGTTTACCCCACATCCGTAGCGTCATTCGATTCGTCATCAGGTTCATTGACAACATACGATACGTCCGGCGCCCTGACATCCTATGATAAGCCATCTGTACTTACTAGTTCTAGTTATTAGATATCTACCCAAATATTTACCAAACACGGGAAAAAAGAAAGATGGATTAAGACCCAAATGTTGGATGATATGGACATTTTTAATAAAGTGTGGTAGTACCCCAATCATTTTGGGCAGCACTCCAATGAGCCTCTAGACAGGGTAAGAACTGGAGGCTCTAAGCACATGAATCTGCATCAGAATTTCGCGTAGAATTCAATGGTACAAACGGGAATTCATGAAACCAACTAATAAGCGAGATATTTGCGTAAATAGACTGCGCATTTTTGTAAATCCCGCTCGCCTAATATACGAATGACGTCACATTTGTAGCCAATAGGATTGTCGCAGCGCTGCGCAGCGCCGACTGAGCATCGGCCATCGAAAACGTCCAACGCTCCCAACGCCGGGATCGTAAACAAACGAAAATTGATAACAGGAAGGACCCAAGCACCCAAGCAACTCGAAATCTTTTAATTTTCATTAATTACAGTCCATGTTCGACTTCAAGAAAGCATTTGACAACCATTTTCCTCGTATTTTATAACCTGGAGCCACAGCCTATCGGCTCATTGTAATGTGCACTCTGAGAATCAGTTCCACAAGTCCAAACCCTGACATTCTTTTCTTTGACCATTCTCTTTTCATTCTCGCCACAATTTAAGTGTTATGCAGTTTCTTTATCTAAAATATGTGGTCTTGAATTCATTCAGGAGTCAGAAGTTTACCTTTCTTTTAGTATTACAGCCCTTTGACCCCTCAAACTTCACCGATATGACCTCATGTAGTTCAAGGTTTCTCTGGCCCGAACCGAGTGATTACACATCTGAGGTGTGTCTCATGGTTCTTCAAATTAGCAGTTTAGAACTAAATTAGGGACTACAGTGACTCAATCCAGTTCTGCTTTCTTGTTCAATGTTTGTTATCAGTGTCTGTTCTTTTACGTGACCAATCTAGTGCATGCACTGTTACGCTATAAGTACAGGTATTATTGCTTTTTTCCTGCTGTCAGACCTTTTTCTTAAGCCTGCTGATTCACCACAGAATCTGCCCTAGTTGTGTAAATAATTTGGTGTGTAGTTATTGAGTTAATACCTCCTTGCGGTGATGCAAACTTTCTCAGATCCGTCATAAGTGGGTATTGCATTTAGACGATCACTCGGACCAGATGAAATCACTGCTCTAGCAGCTTCAAATTTATACTTTGATCTCTGATTCACTAATAAATAACACTTTATGGTGTCATTTATATTTAATCAGTTCAAAGCTAATTCGACAATGAATCATCAATGGTCCGATCGAAAAAGGAATTTTCTGGTGCGTGCTATGGCTGAATCGACACTACATTCAATTTTCGAAAGCTTCAATCAGGACATGACCATCCGTCTTGAAGTGAAAATATTTTTCAACCATTCAAGTAGTTCAAAAGGTAAGATATCTGAAGTTACTAAGGTATCACCAGGGTACATACGGATCTGTTGTTGGACAGTTAGTGTGAGTATGCTTACGTTTGTGGATAATCATTCATGGCAAAAAGAGGATGTTAATGACAAGGCTAAACTGGGAAACCACTTACCTAAATTCACAAAGTTTCAGACTTCCTGTTCCTCTTAATTTCTCAATTAAAAAATCATTCAACAAAATCTCTGAAATGTGATATTTTTCCTCTACATGGGCAGAAAATTCAGTAATTAATTCAAACAATATGCTGACTTGCTTCCCTTTGAAAATCTGAACTGGATGTAGAAAGTTTGAGCAACGTATTCAGGATATGTAATTTACACGTTTTGCAAATGATACCTATGTTTGGCCATTAGATTGGTTTGAGAAGTAAATGTTACAAATGTCATCCCTGGTCAATCTGAACTGTTTTTCCCAACTTGTTTTCATGGTGGGATGTAATTCTATGACTTTTCAAGATCCTTTCATCTTTCGGTACCTGAAAAATTCAGTGAACCAAACGACTTTCAATAGGAATCGTTGGCAACTTTACCATTGAAATGATTCTTAGGTGATTTTGAATGGAACAATCTTACACAAACTTTTGTTGAGCAGGTTTTACTCGCCCTGAATTCTTAAAAGAGAGGAAAAATATTTTCTTAACGCTTGGAGGATGATCTAACTATGTTGCAGGTAAGTAGGTGTGATCACTTCATTTCATGAAATTCAGTAAGGCTCGTCGCTGCATGAAACACATAAAACATACTGATTAAGAAATGAATCCTCAAATAATTAGCAACTGTTTTGTGCAATATCTGTTGATTAGCATTTGATGATAACTAGAATACAAAAATTCTGAAATTAAGAAACCAGGAATAAATAACTACCAGAATGGTCTTATCAGATTTTCTCTGAGACAAATTTCCATATTCATTGATGAAGTGTAGCGTGCATTTGAATTCACAATGTTTGGAATTTCCAATAGCATTTAAGGCCTGAGGCACAATTCCTTATCTTTTAAAGCAGGGAAGACACCTTGGACCCTCCATCATTCGTAACTCACAGCTTTCAGATTGGTTCAGTCATGTCTTCGAGCAGAAAAGCCCTTTAAATGACCAATTTCCACAATTTTATAACTTCACCCACTTGAGATGTTGTATTCCTCTTTAGATATATGGCAGGAGAGTATATTCTGAAATTTACAGGACACACATCTCTTCAGAAATAGGAGAGTGCTAACATAATTATTACTTACCAAGTACCAGTTCCTGATGAATTTTTTTAAGGTTCATGCTTTCGAAAGTTGAGTTGTAGGTAATGTCGATTCAGCCGTAGCACGCACCAGAAAATTCCTTTTTCGATCGGACCATTGATGATTCATTGTCGAATTAGCTTTGAACTGATTAAATATAAATGACACCATAAAGTGTTATTTATTAGTGAATCAGAGATCAAAGTATAAATTTGAAGCTGCTAGAGCAGTGATTTCATCTGGTCCGAGTGATCGTCTAAATGCAATACCCACTTATGACGGATCTGAGAAAGTTTGCATCACCGCAAGGAGGTATTAACTCAATAACTACACACCAAATTATTTACACAACTAGGGCAGATTCTGTGGTGAATCAGCAGGCTTAAGAAAAAGGTCTGACAGCAGGAAAAAAGCAATAATACCTGTACTTATAGCGTAACAGTGCATGCACTAGATTGGTCACGAAAAAGAACAGACACTGATAACAAACATTGAACAAGAAAGCAGAACTGGATTGAGTCACTGTAGTCCCTAATTTAGTTCTAAACTGCTAATTTGAAGAACCATGAGACACACCTCAGATGTGTAATCACTCGGTTCGGGCCAGAGAAACCTTGAACTACATGAGGTCATATCGGTGAAGTTTGAGGGGTCAAAGGGCTGTAATACTAAAAGAAAGGTAAACTTCTGACTCCTGAATGAATTCAAGACCACATATTTTAGATAAAGAAACTGCATAACACTTAAATTGTGGCGAGAATGAAAAGAGAATGGTCAAAGAAAAGAATGTCAGGGTTTGGACTTGTGGAACTGATTCTCAGAGTGCACATTACAATGAGCCGATAGGCTGTGGCTCCAGGTTATAAAATACGAGGAAAATGGTTGTCAAATGCTTTCTTGAAGTCGAACATGGACTGTAATTAATGAAAATTAAAAGATTTCGAGTTGCTTGGGTGCTTGGGTCCTTCCTGTTATCAATTTTCGTTTGTTTACGATCCCGGCGTTGGGAGCGTTGGACGTTTTCGATGGCCGATGCTCAGTCGGCGCTGCGCAGCGCTGCGACAATCCTATTGGCTACAAATGTGACGTCATTCGTATATTAGGCGAGCGGGATTTACAAAAATGCGCAGTCTATTTACGCAAATATCTCGCTTATTAATTGGCTTCATGAATTCCCGTTTGTACCATTGAATTCTACGCGAAATTCTGATGCAGATTCATGTGCTTAGAAGGTTTTTACTAACTCAAATGTTTCGGTACTACTAAAATCAATTGGAAACGTCCATATCATCCAACAAATTCGGGTAGCACCACAATTTTAGGGGATGACCCCTAACAATTTTTCCCCGAGAAAGCAACCAATCTGTAGGACGAATAAGACTTTCAGTCATCATCACATCTCTTGAAATCTTTTTGTCAAAACATACTTCAAATTCTGATTCAGATTTTAAAAAAATTAAGCAAACAAAATATATACCTATTCTTCGTGTCTAAGAACTCGCCAAACAAGGTTTATGTTTTTTCCAAAATCGTCCAAACCATTTTGATTACGAAACAAAACCGATTGTTCCAATTTTGAACATTTGATCAAGGTGCTTCAAGTCATGCAACTAATACTTGGAGCGAGAGTGTCATGATCAATCCAGCTCCGATCGTTACCGGACTACTCATCTCAACACTTTTCACCCATCGGACTTTTCGCCATAAACTGTTTACCTATGGACGTGTTACCTAAAAAGTTTCTCCTAAGTCTTTATTACCGAACGTGTAGTATCGCCTAATGGTGATCCGCCTTGTGAGTACGTACGCACCTCGTAAGTGCGTGCTATGCAGGCCCAGAGGTGGATACAAAGGCCGCAACCTTTCACGAATATCAGTAACTTGCCAGTGGCGTGGCGTGAATTGCGATATATCGATTGTTACGCCATTTAAACCTATGGAAAAGGATCGATAATCAGGGTGTTCGCAGCGAACACCTTAATAATCGATTCTTTACCATAGGTTTAAATGGCATAACAATCGATATATCGCAATTCACGCCACGCCACTGTAACTTGCCCTCTTCCTTGCATTGCTCACACTTTTGGCAAAGGTTTCTCAGCCGCTCGTCTTGTTGCGTATATGTCTTCCGTTGTGGGAAGCGAATAGCCTTACCAAACTGCCGGTCCAAAAACATCGTTTCTACTCCACTTTGTTCTTTCCTGAGCTCCCGTAAAAAATGGTAGAATGATGGATGGTTTTTTCCAACCACTGCGTTCAGACGACTGTTCCAGCCTGCACAGATATTGTTCGCACGGGGACCAGAAAGTAGCGTTGCTTCGTGCTGGTTCCAAATCTCGGTG